CAGGCGGAGCTGGGTGGCCAAGACAAGGGCATGTGTGACCTGCTGGAGTGGTCACAGGACGGTGCCACATGGTTAGGGCCTTACGTATCTAGCTACGAGCAGCCGGCAGAGCAGGTGTCGCCTGGCCAGTGCTGGAGGTGGCAGCTACGTTCCCCTCCTGGATTCAGTCATGAGGCAGCACGCGCATGCCTTGGAAAAGCCATGCCACACGCCACAAGGTGTACAGCAGTTACACGTGAATCAGAAATTACAATAAAATTATCCAGAAACTTGTCTAAGATCACAGTAGACCTGGTCATTCTGGGATTGCTCCTCACCTGTGTTCCCCAGGTTTCCGACGGGTCATTCATTACTCCGCAGTTAGAAGCAGAGGGGTGAAAGAGAAACTGAGTTTCATCTTGGCTGTCTTACTGAGGTTTGGAAGGAGATGTTAAAATTAATAGCACATGAGGATACCAGCAGTTAGCGTAATGGCTATGTTGCTGAACTCCTATGTAGTCAACCATGGTTCGAGTCCCGGACCCAGTGGCTTAAAACTCACACCGGGTGCATGTGCGTGCGTGCCCAAGATCCCGAGAGGAGAATGGAGGAGAAGGGATTGTGGCGTGACCATCCCCCCGGGGGGTGATTTCTCGCTTTCTGTCTCTCCGTCTTTCTCTGTCTTTCTGGCGAGCGCATGTGCCCTATAGCAAAAAACCTCTCCAAAAAAAAAAAAAAAAAAAATTAATAGCACATGGGACCAGTAGATGGCATGATGGGTATGTCGCTGGACTCCTGTAGTCAACCGCGGTTCAAGTCCCAGACCCGGTGGCTTGAAAAGTCATACTGGGCATGTGTGCATGCTTGCCCAAGATCCTGGGAGGTGAATGGAGGAGAAGGGACTATGGTGTGGCCATCCCCCCCGGGAGGGTGATTTCTCATTTTCTGTCTCTGTCTCCCCTGTGAGTGCATGCCAAAAATATCTGAAAAAAAGAAAAGAAAAGAATTAATACCAGAGATTTTTATTGTTTGTGAATTTTAGTCATTTTAGTTCTAATTACAATTGACATTCAACTTTTTTAAAAGTTATGATTATCTTAAGTTTCTTGTTTGAATTTTTCAGATTCGAATATATGTGTCAGGAAAATAACATTTGTACTATACGTGTCCATTATCCGTCCCACGATCATGCAGAAATCAGTTTAACGTTTTAAATTCCTGGTGCCGATAGGTGGCATGGTGGTTACATCACTGGGCTCCCATATGGCCAACCACAGTTCAAATCTTGGACCCATGGCTTGAAACTTACACCAAGTTGGGGCCAGCAGGTGGCGTGGTGGCTAAGGACTGGACACTCCCACGTGGCCGACCATGGTTCGAGTCCTGTACCTGGCGGCTTGCTTTCTCATGTTCCCTCTCTTTCTGTGTGTCTTTCCCTGGTCAATTAAAATAAATGAATGAATAAATAAAAAATAATAATAAATAATTCTTTTTAAAAAGAGTTATAGAAAAAAAGAAAAAGAAACTCACACCAGGTGTGTGTGTGCATACCCACGACCCCAGGAGAAAGAGCGGTGGCGGTGTGGCCGTGACCCTGGTGGGGTCACGTGCATGCATGTGATCTCTCACTTTCCCTCTCACTGTCTCTGTCTCTCTCTTGAGAGTGCACACACCCTATAGCAAAACTTCTAAAGAAAAAAAGTCTTAAATTGATTGCCATGACTAAATTCATATTCTATATGTTTATTTAATGAATTTTTCCTGTGCTGACTTGAAGATGCAGTGCTAAGGAATTTCATTAAAGCCATAATTTTTTTTTTTTTTTTTTTGGCCATAGGGAGTGTGTGCTCACTGGAGAGAGGCAGAGTCAGAGGGAAATGAGAAATGGCCTCCCAGGGGAGATGGCCATTCTGCAGTCCCTTCTCTCTTCTTGTGATTTGGGGCACGCACACACTGGGATTTTGAGCCCAGTGTGAACTTAGGCCACCTGGTCCGGGACTCAAACTGTTGACCATGTGGCCGTCCAGCCCCTTCACCACCTTGCCACCTGCTGGCCCTTAAAGCCGTAACGCGTCTCTGTCAGCCCACTAGCATATGGCTGTCTCCCGTGAGACGACTCCTGTCTGTCGTCAGTGCTCAGGGTGCGTCTCCCGGCTTTGTGTTAGCCGCTGATGGCCACGTCTCCGACTGCACGAGCGTCTGACCGTGACACACAGTGTCCATGCCTTACGGGCTGTGTCCTCAGTGCCTCAGAGCACTGCGAAAAGGAGATGCACTCCTGTTCTAGGAGCTGTCCTCACCCGTGTAGAGAACTGGGAGAGTGAAAATGCGTGCGTCATGCACACGCCGAGTCAGACACTTGCTCATGACCATCCCTGGGAGTACTGCGTTGCGTTTACTTTCAGATTGCTTTTTTCTTTTTAAAAGGTTTGTTGTTGTTTCTCTTTTTCCTATAGGGCACATGCACTCGCTGGAGAGGGGAAGAGAGAATGGGAGAGGGACAGTGAGAAGTCACTGGGGGGATGGCCACATCCGCGCCACAGTCCCTTCTCCATTTTCCTCTCAGGATTTTGGGCACGCATGCATGTGAACCCAGTGTCTTTTTCAGGCTGCTGGGTCCAAGTTGTGAACCATGGTCAGCCCTGTGGGTACCCAGCACCTCACCCACCCCCACGCCACCCTGTGGCCCCCAGATGTGTCCCTAGCTGTGCGTTGACTTGCGCACAGTTTATCCAGTCCCATAGGGAGCCCACTCCACTTGCTGTGATGAAGAAGGCCTCTATCTCGGTTTATTGGACTGTTTTCTTTGCAGGTGAGTTTCCGATCATCAGCCCAGGCCGGGTGTACGAATACACCAGTTGTACCACGTTCTCCACGACGTCAGGATACATGGAAGGGTATTACACCTTCCACTTTCTGTACTTTAAAGACAAGATCTTTAACGTTGCCATCCCTCGATTCCATATGGCATGTCCGACGTTCAGGGTGTCTGTAGCCCGATTGGTAAGTTGAGTGTCCCTCCAGTGCTGACTCACAAGCCTCCGTAGAATGAGCTCCGCAGGAGAACCTACTGCTGAGGCAGACAAGCATTCGTACACGGGGTCCCAGAGAGCCCTCACGGCCCCGAGGAAGTGTGCTGGGAGGGCTGGCTGTGCTGGAGAAGACGGACAGGTTCAACTCGGCCACGTGTCCTGGAGCCAGAAAGCCTCTCCTTCGATACCCGTTTAGAGATTCAGCTTCTTTTTCACTATTTCTAAAAAGTCTGTGGGCTAAATGTGTTAGAACGTGAGAAATACCACACTAGACCAGTTAGAATGGCTTTTCATTTCATTAAGATATCAAGGCTCCCGATGTAGAAAAATAGCCCCGGAGAGGTGGGTACAGAGGAGTTGGTGGGTGGGCCCGTGTTTGCAGCAGTCTCTCCGGAGTTGTGCGTGCCCGTGTAACAACTCGCCCGCATAGCACAGTGCAGAGAGCGGCAAGCTCCAACCGCCAGGCGACGCGTGCCGCTCGGAGGGCTGGTTCAGAACAAGGCTGGCAAGATCGTGGGGCTCCCCGGGGCCAAGCCGGCACTGCCCTAAGTTGACACGGTCCAGCCGCAGTTTGGGGCACAGCTGGCTGGCGAGGCTGTGGGTGTTGTGCTCGTGTTGTGAGAAGCCGCAGTTTGGACTGGAAGTGGGCTCCGACCTTCCTCCCAGGGCCACACGTGAGGGCCTGCGTCTGCGGTCCAGGGACACGCCACTGCCTGGGGCCTACTCCCCAGTGCCTGCGGGCTTGGCACCCTCTTTCTCTGCCCCGTGTGACGGGGTCTGCCTGCGAAGCTGTCTGGCCTGAAGATCTCTGTGGGGAGTTCTGAAATGTGACTTTCTCTAATGTTCATGTTTTCCATTTCCTCTGATTTTGGTTTTGGTGACTGTGCCTTCGAGGAGTCTGTCCATGCGTGTGAATGTTGCGTTTCTGGGCACACAGTTCTGTGCAGTCTCCTCTGCACCCGCCCAGACTTGGCGCTGTGTCCACTGTCCTCGGCCTGGCTGAGTGGTCCACACTGCTCCCCTGTACACCAGGGGCCGGGCGTCAGCGCGTCTGTGGGGCATCGAAGGAACGGCTTCCGGTGTCACCCTTTCTGTCACTCGCTCATGCTCTGTTGGGCTGTCTGGAAAGTCATGACGCATTTTTGCATAGAAAACCAGGAGCCATGCCATGGGTTTCACAAAAGCCTAACACTGGTTTCTGCAGTTATTTTTATTTTTTCCTTTCTACTTGGTTTGGGCTTAGTTTTCTTTTCTTCTCCTAGCTTTTTAAGATAGAAGTTCCGATGATTGATTTTAGGCCTCTCTTCTCAGTTTTAGCTGCATTTCACAAATCTCGATGGGCTTCGAAACATTAAGGTTTAGTTCAAAATAGTCTGAGATTTATTTTGTAATTTGTTTTGGTCTGTGTTTTTTTGTGAAACCTGTTAAATATCAAATGGATACCCAGAAGATACCCCTAGGGGAAGGGGTATCTTCCAGTTATTATTTCTAGTTTTATGGTGGTTTTAGGAAATTTACTCTGTATTTTCAATCCCTTGAAATGTTTGATGACCCGTCAGGACAGTCTGTCTTGGTAAATGGTCGTTGTACATTGGGAAGTGTGTTTTGTCATTGGGGAGGAATATTCTGTAAGTGACAAATTGGTTGACAGTGTTTTTCAAGTATTTTATTCATTGATTTAAACTCTGGTTTTGGTCTTTGTCCTTTTACCTGCTGGAAACGAACGATTAGTGAAATCTCCAGCCATGATTACGCTATGCCCATCTTGGGTTCTGACAGACTTGCTTCTTGTATTCTGAAGTTCTTTGATCATGGATGAATCTGCTTCGGCTTAACCAACACTTTTTTTTTTTTTTAAGAGAGAGATTTTTCCTATTTGGGCACGTGTGCTCACCAGAAAGACAGAGAAAGACAAAGTGAGAAGTCACCCCCAGGGGGATGGCCACACTGCAGCCCCTTCTGCATTCTCCTCTCGGGATTCCGGGCATGCGCCTGGTATAAGTTTTAAGCCTGCAGGTCCGGGACTCCAACTGCGGGTGACTACATGGGGTCCAGCAGTGTAACCATCATACCACCTACTGGTACCTTACCACCATGTCCTTTTAGTGAATGGTGCTTATCGCTGAAAGCTCTCTGTCTGACAGTATTATCACCATGAAATCTGTCCGGAGGCATTATCACTGTGAAAGCTCTGACGATGCTCCTTGTCACAGAATTAGAGCACGGAAGTGCGTCCTGGCCAGCAGTTACTGTCAGCTCGACCCTGTGAGGCTTGTTTTCAGAATTCGTCAGGATGGCTGTAAAGCAAGCTTTACGTAAGAAAAGTCATTGTCAAACTTCCCAGTCTTCTGATGACCCCTGTAAACTCTTAAGACATAGTGAGGATCCCAAGGGACTCTTGGCTTCTGTGGGTTATGTTGATATTTACTGCATTAGAAATTTACACTGAGAAGTTTCACAATATGTACCTATTATCTCCTTTAATATTACACTGCTAAACTATTAGAACTCTCTTTAACTGTATCTTACTTATAGTTTTCATGGCCTCCTAATCATGGATAAGCATATAAAAACTTACCTGAATTGTGGAAATATTTCCTTTCAAGGATGTGAAATCAATAAACAAGGAGAAAGCGTTCTGGGCCTCCTTCTCGTCGATATAAAAGCGCCATGGAACTGTATTTGTCGCCGTCTCATTTAAGTATTGGTTTTCTTGATACGGAACTTGATTGTCCTGTTCCATCCCAGAAGTCTCATGACTCAGTAGGCTTCCTGGCCCCTTCTGTCAGACTTGGAATGTCACTTTGCATTCGCTTCCTGGTGGTTCACCCTCTCCTTGGTTTTGGGGGTTTGTTTGGGGCCCAGGGGCTCCCACTGCTGACTGGTTGCGTGACCTGCTGTCTGGGAAGCAAGTTCGGGAATCTAAGCCTCTCCCTTCCTGCCTTTGGGACCTGCTACTGAACTTTAAAGTCTCCGTCCTGCAGATTAAAAATACTCCCATGTATCTAAAGGTGAAAGTGCGGGACACTGCCCATGACACACGGGAGTCTCACAGACCCTCCTGGGCTCCCTGGCTGCTCCTGCTGCTGCTGTCGTTGTAAACCATCATGGACGGCATCTCCCTCCTGCATGAATTCAGCTGCTCATTGGCCACACGGGGACCCAGGCCGGTGGGCAGCAGTGCGGCAGAGCCCAGCCTGGGCACTGCCTCTTAGTCGGAAGAGACAGACATTACGGAACAAGCTGATCGCTCGGGTCAAGCAGTGAGCATGCCGTGGGGAAGCCAGGGGGAGGGCCCACTGGGTGCTGAGATGGAGATGTGGCTGGGAGGCCGTGGTGACACGGGCCGCGCTGTGACAGGCACGGCGGAGCAGGTCGAGGTGGGGTGTTCCTGTCAGAGGAGCCACTGGAACACCCTGCACACTGGAGGCCACAGTGTGCTTGTGTGTCCGACCAAGGGACCAGTGTGGCGGGAACACAGTGCGGGGCTGGGGGCCGCAGATGGGATCAGATGGCCGGGGGTGCTGTGTCACGTGATGGCCTGACAGTTTTTGTGGCAGGACTCTGCTGACACCACGCCCCAAGCTTCCTGACACATCCCAGATTGTGACTGGGTCCTCCCTGTGCTCAGAATTCCGTCCACCATAGGCACCTACTGTCCATGAGCCCTGAATGGAGAGAGGAAGCCGGCAGCAGACGGCCCCGGGAGCAGCGGGAGGCCACACGGGGCTGGAGGGAGGCAGCACTCCACGAGGCTGGGCTTCACGCGGAGTCCCAGCACACATCCAGAGACTTCGAGTACACTGTGCCACACATGTGCTGTGATCCAAGCCGGCTGGGGCCAGGGGGACCGCGGCGTCGAGGCCCCGATGGGCGTGCCGTCTCTCTACTCCTGCTCCTGGTCATGGGAGAAAAAGACATAATGGAGACGCTGCTCGAGCAGGACCGGCGTGTCCAGGCCTTGCATGTGCTACGTCAGGGTGTCTGTTGGAGAGCCTCCAAGTGAGACGAGGCTCCCTGTCGCCCTGCAGCACGGGCAGGCCTCGGGAGTGCATGGAATGAGTCAGCACCTTGGCACGGGACTCAGAGGCTCGGCCAGAGACGGGCGACGTCCTCCACCCAGAGGACTGCCTCTCCTGGGACGTGCGCCTT